TCATTGTCCTGTTGAAAGTGCCAGCTCCAACCTAAACTCAACTTTTGAACTGAGGACAAGATACTTTCATTAAAAATTGCTTGGTATCTTGCAGAGTCCATTGTGCCATCAATGTGTACCATTTCGCCCATTCCAGTTAAAGCAAAGCACACCTAAATCATAATGCTATCACCACCAATTTTAATGGTTGGTATCAAATTTTTCTCCATATTAAAAGCTTGCCAGATATACCACCTATTGTTCCTCCCAATTTTTGTTTTACATGGTTTCCTGTGAAAATATTTTTTTGTGTATGCGTAAAAATCAAAATGACACATGTAGGCTGTGTATACTGCATCCAAACAATATAACTCAAGGGGTATGCAAAAGTGTAAATTAGAGACTAAATTTAAAAATATATATATGCAAAGATCAAACAAACATACTAAATCTTTAAAAATAGCATAGTTGAAATCAAAAATGATGGAGAAGGCTACAAAAAGATATCAAAATGATTTGGAGTGCACTTCTCTACCATGCAACAAATTATTTATAAAAATAGAAGGACTTTAGTATGATGGTATAAAAATTAAGAAGTAGCTGTCTACAAAAAATAACAGCAAGCACAAGTAGACATCTAGTTCAGCAAGCCTAGCAAATCCTGCTCTGACTTTTGCAGTTCTCCAGTGCTCATTGTCCAAATCATGTGCATACATCTACAGTGTGACAAAATCTGAATAATGCTGATCTTCAGGACAGAATGCCTACAAAAAGCCACTTCTTATGAAATATCACAAGCATGGTTGTCTCAGCTATGTCAAAGCTCATATTAATAAGCTAGAAACATTTTAGCAAAAAGTATTTATGGTCACATGGACCAAACTAGAGTTTTTTTTATAAGGAAAAGTAGGTAGTATATCTGTTGAGCTCCTAATAAGACTTTTGATGAAAAGAATTTGATACCAACCATTAAACATGGTGGCGAGAGCATTATGATTTAGTGGGTGCTTTGCTGCTTCAAGAACAGGTAAAATAGTATACATTGATGGCACAATGGACTCTGCAAGATACCAAGTAATTTTGAATGAAAGTATTTTGACCTCAGTTCAAAAGTTGGGTTTTGGCCAGGGCTGGAACTTCTAACAGAACAATGAAGCATCAAAGAAAATCCACAAAAGAATGAATTCATAAAAAGAAATTTCAAGTCTTGGAACAGTCTAGTAAAAGCAGGGTGAATACTTACGCAAGGCAATGTATATATCAAATATTATACTACCTTTGGGATACTTTGGTACTTTCAATTCTTTCTTATGATGCTGATCTTGTTCTCCACTTAGCTGGCATATATTTCTTCACTACCCAACCCTAGGAACAGCCGAAATCTTGGTCTAGGGTTGGGGGAAGTAGAAAGAGCTTGACTTGTTGCCCCCTACCACAACCAGTGATCAAAAAGCCAGGATGGATCAAATACAAATTTTTAGACATTCCAATACAAATACTTTTTGCGATTATTGACGTGATATAATTGGAAATACAAATATAAATACAAGTAATTTTATTCCAGATTCCCAAAATATGAAAACAAATACAAATGCTTCTGAAACTAGGCAAAAATCTAAATGGTATATTTACTTATTTATTTTCAGTGCTTTTTCACACAAATACAAATGCACCTGAAAAAGTATTTAAGTACATTTTTATTTGATCTACCGTTACCAACAAGAACTTTGCATTGACAAAACCTGAATTAAAAGATGTCAAGACTAGAGTAATTCATTTCATCTATTTGAATTCATAAAGCTGAGACATATGACCAGGCTCAGTGGTCAAAAGTTTATCAAATAACACCATCCACATTTATATGTCCAAATCCTTCATTTTTGATGCTTAATAAAGCCAAATTGCTTAGGCGTTTCTGATTCATTGTGCTTCAGAGATATTTTCTTATTAATATGATTTTGCTAAAAGAGCACTCACAGGATGCCATAGAGACAGCAACAGCCAACAGTATGCAAAATGCTATTTGTAAATTGGGGAACACATCACCAACGTAAGATCTTGTGAAGATTAAAAACTTAATTGGGTTTTTTGGTTTAACAAAGGTACTGTCTTTTCTTTTTTGTATTAACATTCAGCAATTTGTAATTTCATGACCTAGGACTATTCCATCAAAATCATCCTACTTTACTGTTGCAGTTACTTTGCATTTTTCTACCATGTCTTTATTTGAGTCATCATTGGAGTCAATGAGGCTTTCCATATCCAAGAGGAACCCAAATTGCTCATGTAACTGACTCAATATTGTAAATCGATCATTCACTTTTGCATTCAACCTTTTCAGTACTTCCTTCAAGGTAACATCCATTTCTTCTCTCACATTTAAAGGTTCATCTTTTATCTCATCTCCAGCCATTCTTTTTTTACAAAGCTCCCTTTCTATTAACTTCATTCTAAGCATTTTTCCTTGCCATTTGCAAATGAATTTTTATAGAGAGAATACTGTTCACTTATAACAGATTGTTGCAGACTTTGAATGTCAACTTGAGCTACATTGAAATTCATTTTAGGGCGCTGAATTCTCTTCTGAACTTGGTTGATGGAAGTCAAGACATCGTCCCAGAATGGCATCATAGTCAGAAAGTTGAAAGTTTGTATGTTGTGCAACAAGCAGCTGTTGTCGCTTCTTGTATCCACTGATACTGAAGTGTCACTTGCCATATCCTCCAACAATTTAGCTATGTCATCCAATTTTGTTTTTACAATATGAACACCATCTTGCTTAGCACTCTATCTTGGATCAGTTTTCTTCAATTTCTCTAACTGCATTGTTGAGCTGGAGAAAAAATTACACAATGGATCAAAAACTCAAAAAAATCATATAGCAAATATGTGTTATGAGGTTGCATCTATTCCTACAAGTTTCAAAGAATAGTTGTCACAAATCACAAAGATTGCTTTCAGGTTTCTCTGTAATAGGAGTTTCTAGACACAGGACACCTTCCCCATCATTGTCATGCATCTGTTCATTAGAGTCATTCAAATCAAGACCATCTTGTTCCAATTTGGGGTTAATTTCTTCTGTAACACTCTCAGTGTCATTTCCATGAATTTTAATAAAATCAGTGAAAATGTAATGGGGTGGGATGTTGGGTATGTGTAATGTAAGTTACCACATTATTATATGTATTTGTAATTGATAGAGGATTCCTTTTCTCTATTTTTTATACTGAAAATGAAATGAATAAAATGTACAACAATAACAAACAACAATGAGACTTTGCTACACATATTGAAATTAATGACAAGAATGTGTCTTTTTCTTTTTGTGGTGTCAATTACAATATTGGTATTGTTTGTATTAAATATTAGTGTTATTCTCTCTTTTGTTTTTTAAAAGTTTTTGCTTACTTGTTTTTGCTTGTTCCAAGAATTTTGTTGCTAAGGGTAGCCTTTGAGACAGCCAACTGCTGATTTTCACAGAGCGATGGTGATACATCTGTGTTGTTTCTTTTTACTACTGCTACTGCTACTCTACTCTACTGTCTTTGCTTGTGATGGAAGGGTTGTTTTTATAATGATGAAGTTTCAGATTTTAGAATGATGAAGTATCATCATCATCATGTATCATTAAAGGAGGTGAGGTTGTTTTAGAATGATGAAATTTTTATCTTTATTTCCAGGATGATGAAATATCCTTATCATCAATCATCACTGGTGGAAAGATTGTTTTTAGAATGATGAAATATCATCATCATTCTGGATAATAATAAACACTTCCTTGATGACAGCAGTTTTAGATTTGTTGTCAACATCAACAAACGTGAGACTTTCTGACATTTGTTCATTGTGAGAAATGTCAGGAGTTGTGTTGAACATAATCTCATAGTATTTGCTTCTTTTGGTTCTCTGTAGGATAGGCTGACGTACTTAGTTGCCCAGTAGCTCAATGAACTCATTCTGTATCTTGCCAGACAAAAATGTTGCAGAATAAGGATGTAAATTGACATAATCCAAGTGATACTGCAACAGAGGGTTGTACTTGCTAAGTAGCTTAATGAGTACAAGAAAATTACCAAGATTATTACTTGAGGCAATGACTTCTTGGTGTCCATGAAATGATGTTGAGTTGCCAAAAACTTGATACAATCCACAAAACACATTGGCAGATCCTTCCACAATTGCTTCTGTTCCTGTATATGCTTCAGTATTACTCTGTTAATTGTAGACTCTTCTGATATGTGTCTCTCAAAATCTTTCCATGCAAGAAATGACGCACGGTGATGAGTTCCCTGTACATGTTCTGGTATTCTTTTGTTTCATTTTTTCCATTTTTGAAATCCACAAGATCTTTCGAATACCATGCTTTGGTTGGCTGGAGCTGTTGAAAACAATAAACAGCAAAAACAATACACTGCATCATTTTTAATAGAGTACAACAACCAATTATGTGGAATCGTAGACCCATCTTGTAGTTTTCTTTGAAGCCAGTAATTTGTTAATCTGCAGTTGACACCCACATATTTTATGCTTGTTTCACTTCCCATTGGTTCTTCAACACATAGGCTCTCAATAACTTAGTGATTTTTTGTAATTTTGAAAGGACTGTCTTTGTTCTGAAAAGCTTTAGCACCCATTTTCAATATTTTTAGATCATCAAAACTTTGTGGTTTATCAAAAGTTAAGCAACCTACATCTTTGTTGGTTAATACTACATATTTATTTTCATGATATTGTGCATGTTCATCATTATTGGCAATGAAATGAAAATGAATACTGATTGGAAGCATCCAATTAAATTATTTGCTTTGCCTTCAGTGGTATAAGTGGTAGTGCTAATGGTGTTGTTGGTACTAGCTGCACTGGTGAAAACGATGATTGCTCCACTGTCCCTGATGCTGTGTCTGTGTAGTCAGAGCCAGTGACAAGAACAAGCAAGGAAACAATGCAATTGTCATCATCTCCATCTGCCTTGGCATTTTTAGATACTTCTTCATAACTTGACTGGATTTCCATAGATCTTCATGTTTTCTTTTCCTAAAATTTCTTCCTTCTGCACCAGATCATTTCTTCTTTTGTTGTCCATGTTGCTACATTCTTTCTGTCTGAAAGAAAAAGGAAATAAAAGTATAACTGTACCTTTCAGTTATATAAAAATCATGGGAATAGTTTGTTAATATCAGAACCAATCCTACCTTCATAGCCAAAGACATATATACATTACAATGAAGCATTTTCTTCTATATTCTCACTGAGTGTACATGGCTTTATGTAATAAACATCAAAAACCTTCATTGAGTTTCTTGGTGTAGTATAATCATATAATAATAATAATATTGCTGTGAAGGCTGCAGAAAGTACTGTACAAAGCTTTTGTCATTGTTAACAACAACCAAAATTGTGCCATAAAACTCATTAATATTTTTGCACCAAAACACTGTATATGGGAATATATGGCACATTATATTTGATGCTCAGTTACAATAAGATCATTACACCTAAATCTTTTATATATTCATTGAAATGCTATGATCTACCAATTGAGGCAAGCAGAAAAATTGCCATTATTATTATTTTACATAGAAACATTGAGTTTAGCATCCCAGGAATACATCTTAAAACATTAATATGGATTAGTCTTCAATCTGGCGTCAACCAAAGGAAAACAGAATTAAACAACACTTTTTGTTTTCTCTTTAAAACATTTTGGCCTGCATGCACTTCTGTCCGCACTGTGCATGACTGAAGAATTATTGAGCACCATCACCAAAATAATTTATGATGTACTGTTAATGAAATAAGTATCTACAGGCAGTCACAAAAAAGGATGTTAAGGTAAATAAAAGGATATTAAAGTAAATAAAAAGGAGGAAATTTTAGGTCCTCTTTCACCACTTTTTAATTAATTTCCCAGTATTTTCACTGATAAATATGTTAAAACATGGCCTACCCTAACCTAGCATGGTCTTAATTTTTCACCACATCTAAATAAATTTGGTTATATATAGTCTAGTCTAGTTAGGCAAATTTTTTATACGTTTTTTTTATAAAAATATTGGAAATGGAACATTTTGCTTTGCAATTCACTCTCAGTCCTAGTAATAAACTTGCCAACCACTGGGCATTTTTGCACCCCATGATAGTGTGCCTCTGGGTGGCTGCCCCTCCCTGACCCCTATCTTCCGACAATTAACCACATGAATATTATCAGTGTTATTAACCAGTAAGCCATGTTCTGTTTGATTTTCTGATTCTCTAGCATCAAGGAGTAAAAACCAAGATTCATGTAAAATGACCCAAATTGATATCTTGCCTAGCATCCTTGGACATAGATTTATTGTTGTACAATTCAATCTGATCCACTTATCAATTCTGCGTAGAGTGACCTCCACACCATAACCTCATGTCCAGGCAGGTACCACAAGCAGGCATGAATCTTTCTTTTATACCAATTTATCAAAGCTTAGGTGCTGACCTGGCAACAAATCATTAGCCTCAGCATCGTGCATATCCTAAAACCCCACCCAAGAGATTACCAAAGCACAGTCTTCTTGATTTCTCTAAGAGTTTCCTTCATAGTGTCTTTCAGATGATAATTTATAAGAATATATTCTTTGAAAAATATGATTCAGAGTTATTGTATACATTTCATCACTGAAATGGTTATATTGAAGGTTTTTACAAGGCCCAAGAATCACTCAAGGTAGAGAGTCTTTGAATGATGTTGTAAAGGCTTAAATGGAGAAACTAATATATTATGATGGTATTTTTTTTCCCAAAATGTTCACTCAATACAAGACCCATGGGCAGCAAAGAAGAGGATTACTGAATGAAGTTGTTTTATGCATATAAGAGGAGGAGGTAAAAAAATGCAAACAGTGAAAATATCTAGAATAGACAGCAGTTAACCCAAGACTTAAAGTGGTTAAGATTGTAGTGATCAGAGAAACATGCTCTCAGAAGTTTGTTTCACAAAGTGATAGTTCTGAGAAAGAGTTTAACTTCCTCCTTACCAAAGTAATATGAAAGGAATGAGGATGAGTTCACTCTGTGTACATGGTATAGCAGTTCCTAGCTGTGAAGGTTTGAACTGATAAAAATATAAAATATATGCTGATTTAATTGTACAACAGAGACCAGTTGGTACTCTAAATAAAATAATGTAAAATGTGAGAATAATAAGCCTGAAAGAAATACAAAAAAATTGTACTCATAAGTACAGCCCCCACCTCATGAAAGGCTTTATCTATGTCAAATATGTGTGATTTTTTTTTTAAACTGCTCAGTGGAAAATGTCATGATGCCATTTCTGACCTTAGGTCTCTGGTCGGGACCCAGAAAGAAATGCGTATACACCAAAAACCAAAGGAAATAAAACAATAATAATAATAATAATAATAATAATAATAATAACAGATAAAACATATAACACCATGCTCTCTTTGGGCTAAAGTGGAAAGACTATATTGAATCCATTGCTAGGTCAGTTGCTAAGTTTACTGTGTTATGTTAGAAAATTTTTCTCTCCAGAATCTATCTTACATGTCTATAAGTCTACCATTCACCCATTCCTTTTTAAAATCCAAAGATGAATTAGCAATATTATTAGTTCTGATCTGGCATTTTGGCTTCAGTCACTTTCCTACCACTAGAAAGCTGCCTATCAGTGTCTTTTTTATAAATACTTTCATGGTAATAGTTTGCATGAGCTAGAAAGCTGCCTATCAGTGTCTTTTTTTATAAATACTTTCATGGTAATAGTTTGCATGAGCTAGAAAGCTGCCTATCAGTGTCTTTTTTTATAAATACTTTCATGGTAATAGTTTGCATGAGCTAGAAAGCTGCCTATCAGTGTTTTTTATAAATACTTTCATGGTAATAGTTTGCATGAGCTAGAAAGCTGCCTATCAGTGTCTTTTTTTTATAAATACTTTCATGGTAATAGTTTGCATGAGCTAGAAAGCTGCCTATCAGTGTCTTTTTTATAAATACTTTCATGGTAATAGTTTGCATGAGCTAGAAAGCTGCCTATCAGTGTCTTTTTTATAAATACTTTCATGGTAATAGTTTGCATGAGCTAGAAAGCTGCCTATCAGTGTCTTTTTTTATAAATACTTTCATGGTAATAGTTTGCATGAGCTAGAAAGCTGCCTATCAGTGTCTTTTTTTATAAATACTTTCATGGTAATAGTTTGCATGAGCTAGAAAGCTGCCTATAAGTGTCTTTTTTTTTATAAATACTTTCATGGTAATAGTTTGCATGAGCTAGAAAGCTGCCTATCAGTGTCTTTTTTTTATAAATACTTTCATGGTAATAGTTTGCATGAGCTAGAAAGCTGCCTATCAGTGTCTTTTTTATAAATACTTTCATGGTAATAGTTTGCATGAGCTAGAAAGCTGCCTATCAGTGTCTTTTTTTATAAATACTTTCATGGTAATAGTTTGCATGAGCTAGAAAGCTGCCTATCAGTGTCTTTTTTATAAATACTTTCATGGTAATAGTTTGCATGAGCTAGAAAGCTGCCTATCAGTGTCTTTTTTATAAATACTTTCATGGTAATAGTTTGCATGAGCTCTTTGCAATGGTAAATACTGATTGGGGCTAGTTTTTAGAATTGTTGTTTTATCCCCCTCCCCCCACAGACAATGAATTGTAAATATGGGGACTAGTTAGTATTTTCATAGAGACAATGATGTATTATGGTGGATGTAGTAAGAAAGGTACGTATGAGTGTGTTGTTTTGGTGTAAGGAATATTGTTTATATGACTGGGTCATTAGCGGCTAGCTAAGTTATAGTTAAGACAGAAGAAGACCATCCTTTCCCCAATCCCCACTTTTGGCCATGTGCCACATTTCTGTGTATTTTACAGAATAAATATTGCTCTTTGCAATGGTACCTAGACTTTATAAATTTAAGCACAGTACTAGACTGGCAATGAGACCTTGCTAATTTACAGTTGAGTTGATTAGAGATAACCATAAATTCTATGCTAACAGTTTCTTTTCACACACTTCTCACTTGTGGAACTCTCTTCCAACTCTATGCTTTCTGGTCCACTTTAATCTTCAAAAATTGAAATGCACTATCACTCTCTATCTACTGTCCTCCTGATTACTCATTTTTTGTTCTTGCACCTTAGTAATGTTTCTGTTTTCTTCCACACCCAGGAACCCCTTGCATCTCAGAGGTTTTACTACCTTGCTTGGAATGAACATGATTAAAAAAGAACAAAATAAAAACATAGTAGTTCAGCATTCTTTCCATTGTTTTTGAAAAGATTTTTTTTAATATCTTGTTTAGTTTTTGAAATGTCTTACATAACCATCCAGTGAAAAGCTGGAAAAATACTTTCACCTTAGAAGTGAACTGAATGAAATTATGGAGCATAAAGGTGATATTCATCCACATTATTGATGTAGCACAGGAAACTGACTCAGTGGGCTTAGCAAGAAAACTACAAGACCTGGAAACCCTTACAAAGAACCCAAATTATCCAAACAAGAGCATTAATGTGAATGATTGGAGGACATAATAGAGTTTTGGAGTACTTGCTGTCACTCAGTCTATAGTTATAAACACAAGACATCACATAAATGTAATTTCAGTGTTCAGACTGATGGGGGCATCCAAGCAAATTGACCAGACACAGATGTGAAAACACATGTTGAAAACACGTTTTCTGATAGATATTGCAGCCCCACTGTACAAAGGGACACCTATGAAAACTGTAGTAAGTTTCATTTAGCGTGGAATAAAATTCCTGGTCAGTATTACTTCCACAATGAAGTCAACAAATTGCAAGTCCAAACTCAAAGTTCCAGGGGCAGAAAGAAATGTCAAATTCTCGATTCGCAGGTCACAAATCCCAATACAGGTAAAAAGTCAGAAATCCAACATGCCAGTCAATGGGCGAGGTAGCAAAATAAACAAATTTGTTTTCTCCCTCCAATTCATGAATACCAACTGCTTATATCGACAGAACAATTTTTCATTGGTCGACAAGCTGGAGAGGATACACAATATTAACATATCTGAGATACATTTATGGCAACACCTGCGACTGACTTGTTTCTGTTTTGGATATTCTGTCTTTGGCATATCATGCAGAATATGTGCCCTTTTTC